TTGTCTGATTGAGCGGTTGGAGGTGTGGGCACCTCAGTATGCTTGACATAGGCGAGCACTAGGTCCCCTCCCTAAACCACTCTTTTTCTCTTCTCTTCACTGTGGGGCTTTTAATACAATTATATATATATATAACTAGACAAACCTTATTGTTGCCCGGCAGTGAGGCATCAGTGCCAACACTGATGTTGCTGTCTTTGATGATGATGATGATGCGGCAGTTTGCGGCAGTTTAATCGGCGAACTTAGAATCAAATTCTACTGCCTAGTTAGATTTTTTGCACCTCAGTTTTTTGTTCCATTTTCAATTGCTCCATAGGGTTACGAAACACGGATCGGCGAAGCAGGCGGTGGACTTTCGGGAGGACAAAAGCAACGAATCGCTATTGCTCGGGCAATAGTGCGGCAGCCACGACTGTTATTGTTGGATGAGGCAACCTCTTCTTTGGACACACGGTCAGAACGTGCTGTCCAGGAAGCATTGGAGCGGGCGGCTTCGGGGCGCACGGTGCTGATTGTGGCACACCGACTCACAACTGTGCGTCATGCTGATCTAATCATGGTGTTGAGTGAAGGAGAAATAAGAGAGGTTGGAACGCACAAACAACTCATGAAAGCAAACGGGCTATACGCTGCGATGGTTCAAAGTCAGGTAATACCAGGAAGGATCTGAGGCCAAACATTTCAGACTGAATAGAATAATTACCAGAGATGCTATGTGAACAGGTCCATAATCGAATGCTAATTGACTGTCTTAAATTGCGCCATTTGACGTATAAAGTGCGGTCAATTTTGATCTGCTGGGGAGGAGGTCGATTCATGAGATTACCTGACATCAAAATCAAAATAGTGTTACACCAAAATAGTTTGAACTATTCCATCCATTGGATCTGACGAGTAGGCACTACAAATCTTCTCAGCCCTACGGAACAAACCGATACGCAGTCTTTTTTAGATGTAAGCGAATAAAACAGCGATCATGATTTTGATTGTTCCTCATAGCGTGGATAGGAAATACTTTGGTGTTGTATCTTGCAGTGGCCCTCTATGGGTTACGCCTGCACTGAGCCTGCCAGCTACGCAATAACAATTTTTCGGTGAGTGTCTTGATGAGCTTCAACTGCGCCAGCTCAAATTGTTGCTGCCACTGTCTGAGAAGAGACTGCATCTGTTCGAATGAAATTGCCATTGTGAACACCCGTCTGCCGGTGTTGTATCTTGTGCAGTGGCCGAGTTATTCGTTAGACCTGCACTGCACCTGCCAGACTACGCGATAGGGAGAAGACAGAGAACTGGGGGCACAGCTTTATTGCCAGGACAAAACATACAAAATGTCTGCGGAAATATATAGGATGACTAATAGGCCAAATACGGTCGTTCACTTGTTCGCCAGCCAATGGTGGTGTGCCGGTCGTGGACATTCTCAGGCGCACTACGCCGGTCGTGTGTTGCTAGGCCGTGTTTGGTGGGAGCCGCCGACTCACCTACTTTCCGGACGTGTCGAACCGATGGTGACCTTGGGGATACGTCACTCTGTGCACATGTGCTTTTTCTTCTGTCTGGGCGCGCCCTGACATTTGGTTTCCACAAAAGGCTCAATCACAGTGACGAAATCATATTCCTAACTCACTGGTCGAGACTTTTTGTGTAAGCGTGTCATGTAGTTTCCAGGAGCAAAGGCAATTAATACTGAAACCCCGAAACTATTGCATTTGCGCCTATAGTTCGAACTTGCTTGGTCAAGCTGCAGCAGAATATTGGATGCATCAATAGTTTCGTTCCCAAAAACCTGAGGTATTCAGATCAGACACAATTGACGTATTTACTTCAAGTTTGTGAGGGTGTGAGCTGAGTTTCATAGACCGATACCTTAACAATCCAAATGATGAGCCCTCAAGTGGAAAGCATTAACAAACTCAGTTATTATAGCTGGCGACGTAATGATCCGTAAAAATCTTTAGCTTTTTTTCACGTGTTGCTTTTACTACGCCTTAAACCAGAGAGCTAATATCAAAATCTCGACTTGCAAACTTTTCTTTGTACACAGGCTGGAGATCAGTTTGAAGGAGGAACTAACGGATCACATATTCCGGATGGCCTGGGACATACTGAACTCAACTCACATAGAGTTCAGGACTCGGAGGTGAAAAGGAGAGTCTCGATTATGGAGGAAGCTGATGTACGTTAACTTGGTGGTTTAAGCCTCAATAGTCTCTTAATGAAAAATTCTTTGGTTTTGTCTCAAAACACAAAGTTGATGTCATATTAGCCGAGTTGCTGGTCTTTAGTTATCTCTTCTGGCCAAAGTTGATGTCATATTAGCCGAGTTGCTAGTCTACAAACACGTCCATCCTACCGACGTCAACATGGATATATCCTCTAGGGTTAGGCATGAGTTTGTTAAATCTGTGTAAGACAGACTTTCTTTACGGTTTCCAAGATGATTGGGGTTCATCGCTGATACTGATGGTTGCTTGGGTTGGGTTGGTTTCACTGGCAAAAAGCTTCTGGAAAACAGAACCAGTTACTTTGCCAAATTATTCACTAACTTAATGACCCGATAAACCAATACATTTTAGTTCTTTTGTTCAACTTCACGCAGTTGAGAGTTGTTACCCGTTTAATACGATGATTGCTACTTTTCACGTGAGCCCGAATTGGTTCCAAATTATGTCGCGACCATCATTTCTCTTTTATACACAAGTGTCATCGGGGAAATTCAGTGTGCGTAAATTCCTTTGGATGGTGTTACATTGAACGTTGACCGTAGTTTTACACGTAACATTAATTCTACAAATAAAATGCAGTCACCCTACTGTGGTTTCAATGAAGGAACTCCAAATCAACACAGAAATTAGTACGTTAGGTTTTCGTTCGTTACAGGATTTCTGTGGACTTGATTTTCGGGCAATATTTGGTTTGTTACTTGATTAATTCGTTACTGTACGGTCTGTATAGCTTGCCCAGATGGGAAATTATCACAATTTTAAGATACTCGAGTTTTCATACTATTGCCTGATAATACAATATTTATTCAATAACGCCACGTTTTGCGGCAACAAAGTACTCGGCAAATGACCCGGTAGCGGTTGACTGCTTCGAATATGTACCCGTCTAAAACTTACGGTTGAGTTTTATGCGAATATATTACAGGCTGTATCGGACACTAGTTCAATTATGGCAAAGGAAGATAATGCTGTGGGTTCGCCGTCCACGGGAATATCCAAAAAAGTAAGTATCTGCGGCGAGCATGATTGCCATATGGTCTAAGATAAAAGAGTCAACAGCAAATTTAAGTGATGAGTCTGGCAACTGAAGCACTCAACTAGAGATGTTGAATCTCTATTTCAGTGGATAGCACAGCATTAGCTAATTTCTTGTCCAGACACCTGTTGAGGAAAACTACTCTTGCAAAATTCACAAGTGGGCGTGATATACAAAGAGAAATTTTTACTTCCATAAAAATCCAACGCTGTTGGTCTAGTCAAAATTCTCACACGGAACATCTACTTTATGAAATTGTGAGTATGGCAGCATCTTTGCACTTGCGAGGCTCAGTTTTTAGAGATTCAAAATTTTAAGAAATCAATTAAGATGGAGACGAAGTACTGAAAACAATGTACTAGTCCCTACACTAAAACTTTATGCAAGTCGATAACTTTTTTCCAGCAACACTGTATAACCTAGTTAACGAAGTTGCCACCACAGTTCTACAACTTTCGAAGTGTTACCTTCTATGGTATCAAACCCAACGAATTCGTTATTGGAATGGTCAAAGACGGATGTATGTTGCCAAGAGTTTTTTTCACATTTGAAAACGGTAGCACAGCCGTAATTAACGTATCGGGAAACACATACACTTAAACAAGGCAGTAGGTAAAAACATTATAACTTCAAAAGTGTTTTTGGGAATGCTGTATGCACTTGACACCTACCGAGGATGGTTTCATAGGGGCTTCGCACACTAGAAGCGTCTCCGCCCCAGCGGAGCTTTAGAATTTAAAAATAGCCGCCACGTCTTAGTCCCAGTTTATTCCCATTAAAGCCAACGTAGGGAAAAAGACTGGCGTCCAGCAATGCACTTGGGTTGGTTTTCTTAATGCATGCTTTTCATAAGCTTGCTAGAAGTAACGTCCACACAGTCTCATTTGCGTGTCATTTTCGCTTCTTTCCTTACTCACAATGTTTTCTGGAATAAGTTATTTTTGGAATACGAAGAGCCTCATTTGGAAGTTATCTGCGTTTTCAGACAACAACTGCACATCCGAAAAGTCTGCTTTGCTTTTGATATTCCGCTGAATTACACACACCAAACTGTTTCACGTTTCAATTTCACGCCAAAATTCTTGTGTGACGCCTTTTTCAGAGGAGCAATAACCCTACGTTGCGCCTAATAAAGATGAATCGTCCGGAAGCAGTCTCTCTTACACTGGGATTTCTATTTGCCATCCTGTCGTCCTTAGCGTTTCCCGTTTTCGCGATTCTCTACTCTGAGGTGTACGACGTAAGTTTCCCGTTATATTTATCCTGTTTCATACAGAGTGAAGTGGACAGTCAGTTTTAAGTCTGGGATGTATTTAAACATTCCACTACTACTTAAGTAGTATGGTAGCGCGTTGCCGGTTAAACCTTAGCGGTCTTACAATACAGCTTACAGGAATCATAGTTTGATATCCTTATTATATGGTCCTACCTATATTGTCTAAGGCAGCTGGTTCGCTTCACCTCGGATGAGCATTTTTACCATCTAACTAATGAAAAATGGCCTTTTGCGAAGTACGCTCATTTGCAAATGCGTATATTTCGCCACTTGCCTACAACTTGAGTTCAAGTGGAACGTAGATATGACGAAACTTGGAGACCACATCCATCTGATAAGCTCCGAAAAGAACGAAATCAGTCGTGGGTTGGCAAAGAGTTTTCGACAACCTCAATATTATCATGTTACACCTATACAACGTATTGCGATACATCGGAAATATTACAAAATGGAACATGAAGTGGCCTAGTTCAGCAAATTCACTTGAAGAACACCATAAACAATAGATTCGTTAACACCGAATTAATCAGCGAACGAGGGACGCCCAACTCAGGTTGAAGTGAAACATGTGGTTGAGGGAAACTTAGGGACCGCGCCTGCGTGATGAGGCCCAAGAGGGACAAAGTGATCAGAGGTTATAAAAGGAGTTCTCAGCAGGCCTAAATGTAATTTGACGCCACAGGGGAATAAACCATTCTTCCGTTATTCCTGTCCAAACTCCAAAGATTTCTATTTTTCGTCTTCACTAGCGAACGAACGTCATTTCTATTCAAAACGTATTTAGTGCGTAACTGAGAGGCTAGTATTACTCAATAGAGACATATGAGGTGGTAACTCGCCTATTATACTTCATACTCCGCTAAATTCTGACATATTTGCAAGACGTCGCTGCTCAACAATAGCAACCTTAGATAGATAAATGAAACATACTGAAACAAAATTAACATTGGGTTAGCAGAAAAACACTTCGATTAAAAACCAGATTATAATCCAATACTCTGAATATTTGAGACTGTTCCCACTAAATAGCACTTGCCTCTGTTTGTAGTATAACATTTGTTATCGTTTCACAAGACATTCATTATATACTCGATAATTTCCCTTTCAAATGGTTTATCTGAAGTCTAAAACGGCTCTGCTTGCATGCACTCTGATTATTCGACTGAAAAGCTTGATTCCTTTCTTGCCCCGAATCACTTCTGTGATTTCCAGATCATAACCAAACCCTCTGGAGAGAGTTCGATGAAGGCTCGCATCGCTGTGATAAGTGCATCAATGGCAGGTGTTGGCTTGGCTCAGTTGCTTATTGGGATCGGACAAGTTGGTTTAACCTAATCATACATTAGAAGGCTCGCATTGCTGTGATAAGTGCATCGATGGCAGGTGTTGGCTTGGCTCAATTGCTCATTGGGCTCGGAAAAGTTAGTTTAACCTAATCATACATTGCTGCATTTTGTGTAAAATTGCATCGATCACACGAGAAACTGACCTTAGATTTGGCAAACCACAGCAGTTTTATAATCTTGGATGCAGTAGGTAGTAAGATGTCGAATTTTTCATCCACTATTGCCCATTATCTTATCGTAACATCTCGGATTGCCACATTTTAAAACACTCAGCAGCATCATAATCAATGACATGAAGAGCACTGATGCGTCGCTATCATAACAAAACATTCTGTTAGTACCATTATCAACATCTTCACTGGTAAGAACAGCAAACTGGCGGGATTATTGTGTGAAAGGGAGCGTTTGTGAACCGATGGCGCTGTAAGTAGATCCTGCGTCAGCCAGAAAGTGAATGATCCCGAATAGTGTCAAGCTTTCAGATCGTCAGATATGAAACATGGACAACTAAGAGACGTGCCACTGGTTAATCCCTGAAGTTCAACGGTTTTTTTTCATTCATACTGTAAATAGTCGGACTTCGCACTTAAGGGCACATAGGGCCATTAAATCCATAAAAAGTGGGCCGGTGTGGCTCAGGTAACTTTCTCCCACCAGGGAAGACGTATCATACGTGAGGAAATGCACAACTTTCCAATGCACTGGCACTAATCATAGTCAAGTGGAGTTTCTCCATATTGTTGATGCACTCACAAACTTGCATGCGCATACTCTTTGACCAACTCGCAGGGATACTTCTTTGGCGTTGCTGGGGAGCGACTGATCAAGCGCATTCGTGGTCTCTTGTTTGAGTCAATTCTACAACAGGTAAGTGAGTGCACAATTTGGTCGTCTTTACTATCGTTTCCTGAGTTGTTAGTTGTACCCTTCATCGTCCCTTGGTTGTCATTCATCAACGATTGTGCCCATACATGGGTCCATTACTCAATAGCAGTGATTCCGAAATCTTGGTACTTGAAACAAAGCATGATACGCCCAGAATTTGAATCCCCAGGTGTTTGCATCAGGTGGTCTAAGCGTGCTTCCCTACAAACTTCTAGCAATTTCTTCATCAATAAACGTGAATCTCCAGGGCAAATGCAGATCAACTTAGTCTAAAAACGCACTGTTACAAGATGATTCACTAAGCACCTTAGCTATTTCATCAAAAATGGTTAATGCTCTCTGAAAAAGAAATTCAACAATCCTAGCCATGCCTGACCATGAACGGCGAAAGAATAATATCTTCAAAAAGCAACATTTAGTTACGGTTTGTGCAAATTCCCTGTAGTTTGCATAATTGCAAGATTTCATAATAACTCGGAAATGGAAGTTTCAAGTTCTTTCCACCTTTATTGCAGGAAGTCGCCTGGTTTGACAGCCGAGAACACCAGCCAGGTTATCTAACGGCCCTGCTTGCAACGGAGGCGACTAAAGTCTCGAAATTCACTGGAGCTCGATTGAGCTCAGTGCTTGAGGCCATCCTGATCATAACGTTATCGCTAGCTGTTGCACTCTATTACAACTGGCAAGTCACTCTCGTGATGCTGTCATTCTTTCCTATGCTTGCAGCTGGAAATGCGCTCCAAGTAGGTCTCAAATCAGTCGTTAACCATATATTTCAGTATACTTTTTAACTATTATCTGTATATTTCAGTATACTTTTTAACTATTATCTGTGCTTATATTTCGATTCCTCCGTCGATATGAACTACATATATCGCCCAGTTTACTTGTATCCTTGTGGAGTCCCTTTTAAGAAGGTCGACTTAATCTCTAGTTTTGTGTGACAACGGAACAAAGCTTAGGCCGTAAATGCAATTATTTGGAAAATATGCTGTCTGTTTATATTGGTCGGTACTGTTCCATATTTGCTACCGTTTGTGGTGTCTTTCGCTCCCCATCAGCAGTGAACTTTTGGGGCGCATTTTGTTCGCGAACCTTCACAAATCAAATCAGATCTCGGTCTATTGTTTCTTATCGACCATATTTCCACCTTCTCTGGCCGGCTGTCGTCATTTCTAGTGAGATACAATCTTTGATAAAGTGGTAAACATAAAGTTCTGAATCTATTGGCCAATTTTTGTGACCAAATTCAAATTAAAAAATAAGACAAGCAACATTTTTACTTCGGAGTGTTGAGAGAAGGCCCACAAGTTGTAAGTAGTGTGAACACAAATTCTACCGATCCAGAAACCACATACCACCAATCAAAAAGTTAGCTTACAATTTTGTTTTACAGGTTATATGTGTTTTCAGAATCATCTGGATCCACTACCCACCGTTTAGGAGATCGACAAGATAAAGATCTGAAAAGATAAACAACAGCAAAGTACCAGAATGATACCACCTTTAAAGTAACTCATTCGGTTCACATAGTGCGCTTTCAGTCTGCTTGGTTAAGAACGAACTATCACCGTCCTTTGGCCCCTTCTACAGTGTCATTTCCTTATCTTTGGACGCCGCATACGCCTAAACCAGAGTAAAACACATTTACTTCGTTTTAAATAGTATCGTTCGTCTGTGAAACTAGTGAGATAAATCGGTCGGCATGCTTGAGAGTTGTGTGTAGCCTACTCCTACTCGGATTAAAGAATCCCCACGTTGGCGCATAGTCAATGGATCTTCATCTTAGTATTGACCACACCAGTGTACCAGCGATAAATAACAAGTGTTTTCCCATCCCTAAACAAGACCAAAATGTTCGGCCAGGCAAAGGATACGTTTCAAGATTCCAAAGCTATCCAGATTGCACAAGAAGCATTCAAAGGCAATCGAACGGTAACGAGTTTCGCGCTCGAGGATTTCTACAACGATCAATTTGTTAAGTCTTCGAGAAGCTATCTCAGGTGAGTTCCAGAATTTTCTTGATATGGCATGATGCTAAAACGCCAGTCTTGTTATTCCAGTGCCTATTGCGATCTAAAAATTCGGAAAATTGATGGGTATTTTGTGCATTTATTTTGATCGTATAACACTTTGTGGAAGCCTAGCCAGTTGAATATGGATATGGAATGACGAACAGCTTCGCAAACAAACCGCAAGTTCAGGGAAAACTGAAGGCAGTGTAAATATAATAACCTCTGGGATTCGTTCGACTAACTTGCCTAGGACACAGAGTTCGACCATTTATCTGCGAAATAACCGTCAAGCTAATGATGAATACTCAAAGTGTGACCAACAGGTAATGCTTTCCGAACAGCCGATAAACCACAAAATTGTCTTCTCTGTATCACCCGATAATACCAAGCAACAGTTCGGCTCCGGATAAATTCTCGGGGAATGACAACTAAATTACAACCAATTAGCAAATCAATTCGGTTTTCACGACAGACTCAACTGAATCTCCCGTTTATCATATTCTACAACTGAATGTGCTGCACACAGGCTGACTCAGTTGACACGATATTCGAGATGTCGCAGTATATTTTCGTAACGGAAATTACTCACTAGGATGCTGTCGAAGAGTTTCCAGCAATCTTGTGAGTAGTTTCCCTTATGAAAATATACTGCGATATCTCGAATATCGTGTCAAGTGAATCATGAGACGCCTGTGTGCAGCAAATTCAGTTGTGGAATTTCATAAACGAAAGATTCAGTTGAGTCTCTCGTGAAAACCAAATTGACTTGCGAATGAGTACATTTCTCGAAAACAGTTCAATTTGGGTTCAAGTAGAACATAAGTTTAACAGAAACTCGGTGACCGCACCTACTTGATGAGCCTCAAGAAGGGCAAAACCGGTCGCGGGCTGTCGAAGAGTTTTCAGCAACCTTGTGACTAGTTTTCTTCATGTGAAATACAACCAATTTACAAAAGTACAAGAAAAGGGCTGAATGCAGTAGACACATTGCCAAAAATCTTACAAATGTCCCACTATCTGTTAGTGATTTTTAGGGACCACCTAATTTGCAGCTTTTGATTTCCACGAAACTCACAACCTATTGTTTCTCTTCATCGTTCACAGGCAGCAGTCGAACCAGGCCATGATGCAGGCAATCCTGTGTGCCCTTTCGCTTACAATTCCCGCGCTCTCGATTTGTGCCACATTTGGATTGGGAGCTTACCTGATCGACCAGAAGAAGTCGGATGTGGTGTCGCTTTTCAGGTGAACAGATTTTAAATTTTTACAAGATTAAAAATACAGTCGAAACCCTCTACTGGGACCAAATGTTCCACTAAGTCCTCACTTCATGCGCTTCAATCTATCCATTGGATTCATCTACTTTTACGGACCTTACTTTTGAATTCTAAGGATTTTCTAAAATAATTCAAATCCGCATGTCCATACGTCCATATGCCAGTCCATACATCTTGTTACGCAACCGCTTTTAGTAAGATTCCCATGAAAACCCTCTTTCAATATGACCCGTTGACATTTATTGAAATTTTCCTTTTGAAGCGAAGTTTTGTGCCTACTTTTAGGACTAAGTAGTTGAGGTAAATAGAGAACTGACAAGGCACGACGGAGTCATTCTTACATTCGTGTTGATCGCACACTGAGTGTGGGAAATGCATTTATTCTGCCAGAAACTGATTAGAGTAAGAAAATGCTGTGGTTCTTATTGAGCCTACTGAGGCAGCTGCCCTGAGAAGATGGTAATCTTGGGGTTATCCACCTCCATGGTACCCACAAAGTGAACGCTATCATGCGACAACACAAAAACCGGGACAATCTTATTTGTGGAAAGTATCGTAGTACATCCAATGATACTATCTGTTGACAGTTGAGTTGAAATAAGGAGAAGCCAGTTTTCATTAGGGGAAATACTTACAAGGTTACTGGGAACTCTTCGACATCCCACAACCAGTTTCGCCCTTCTTCGGACTCATCAGGTAGCGCAGCCTCCGAGTTTCCGTCAACCTTATGTTCTACTTGAACTCAACGAGGACAGATGTCGACAAATACACTCATCGACTAGTTTTTCAGGGTTGACTGAGCTGGAACGCACGATTATGATATTCCTCAGTTAAATGTGCTGCACAAAGGCCGCCTCAAGTAACAGTTGTTGCGATTTTCGAGATATCACAGTATATTTTCATGACAGAAACTACTCACAAGGTTGGTGAAAACCCTTTGACAGACCTCGAACTGTTTCGCGCTTCGTTAGACTCACCAGGTCAATAAAGCTTCAAGTTTCCGTCATCTTCGTGTTCTAGTTCAACCAAAATTGTTAGAAATTCAACAATTGCACTCTGATCTGTGATATTCTTCAGTTCAAGAATCTCACATACGAGAGATTCATGCGAGTTTCCCGATGTGCAAATTAGTATGTTTGTTGAAAAGGGAGCCTAATTCTGTGATGAAAAATGATGGCTAGCTTCAAAGTCAAGCTCACTTACAATTCAGTCCGAACCCTCTGAGAAATCCAGAAGACTTTGTCGGTGCAGTTTCATTTTGCATAGTAAAATAAGCCGGCCCAGCCTGCCATTAGCAGAACGAACGATGCGTTGATCCCAACTGACTAATTTACTACTGCTTCCGACAGAACCATACCACATGGGAACATGACTGAAAAACACCTTCCATCTGAGGTGCAATTTATATTGTAGTGTGATGATAGTGTGAGGAGATTTGAAAATTTTCGCTGCACATCTCCTTCCGTAATTGAAGCTTTAAAGACATAAAATAATGGAAAAATGAAACCTAATTCACTTCCGTAAAGGAAACTACTCACAAGGTTGCTGAAAACCCTTCGACAGTCCACGATCGGTTTCGCTCTTCTTGGGGCTCATCAATTTGGGTTCAAGTAGAATATAACGTTGACGGAAGCTTGAGGATTGCGCCTACCTGATGAACCTAAAGAAGGGCGAAACCGGTCGTGGGCTGTCGAAAAGTTTTCAGCAACCTTGTGAGTAGTTTCCTTTATGAAAATATACTGCGATATCTCGAATATCGTGCCAACTGAGTCATGAGGTGGCCATTGTTCGGCATATTCAGTTGTAGAATATCATAAACGAGAGATTCAGTTGAGTCTCTCGTGAAAGCCAAATTGATTTGCAAATGAGTGTATTTCTCGAAATTCACTTCCGGTTCAATGTTGGCTGAAGCATTCTGACTTATTCACTAGACAGAAACGCATGTAAACGTTATTCAAAACTCGTGATTACATGTGTGATGCAATTTTAGTGTTAATTTCGTGATCGACACAATGCATCAAAACAAGGACAACTTCGCCTATCCCAAAACCGATTTCGTACATTTTACTGCCTCGCTCCAACCATCCCTACTGTCTGTATATATTTTCAACTATTCACTAATTTAGGGCATTTTTAGTCATCAACTTTGCGTCTCAAGCCATTGGACGACTGGGTTTCACAGCTACGGATGCGAAACAAGTCAGTGAAGCTGTGGAAAAGATACTACACATTGTGGATCGCGTTCCAAGGATTATCCTCAATGCTGGGGATATACCACTATCTCCATTCAAGGGGAGAGTGCAATTCAGGCGCCTTCACTTTCGCTATCCTACAAGACCGGAAGTCAAAATATTAACGGTAAGTTTGTGTTGTCAACTTTATAAGGATATAGAAAACGAATGCATCCAGTGGGACGCTATCACGCAACAGCTGGAAAAAGATTGTATAGTACAGTGGGAGTGCTCCAGTCTTCGGAAATTAGGTCCTCATTGTTAGAGAAAGGGTTAAATGGTGTGTGTTAAGCTATTTACGCATTGATAGAGCGTCATCGCCGTTATAAGATATGCAGATTGGGAAGAAGACCCCATAGTGACCACAGATTGTATACTGTACCTCGACCAGGTGGTGAATGAAAACCAAACGCGTTGTCATGTCCCGACGGAGTCGATGATGCCCACGAACAGTAGATCTAACATCTGATAGACAAAGTTCAGTGGATTCAAAAACATTGACTGAGTTCAATTATATGCGCAAAGAGGCACTAGTTAATTTGGCGTACATTCGAATGAAATGCAACAATGATCATGGAAGTATAGGAGAGGTGACTTTGCTTTTCAGTTAACGAATGACCTTACGTTTTCTTATTCTCAACGAATACTTTTCTTCAGAACCTGCTGAGTTTGAGCTCCCCAGTCGAAAGCTCGGCTTACCGAAATTTTATATTTTCCTCACTTTTATATCATACACTACCTCAGAGCTTCTCACATGATGTTGAACAAGGAAAGAAGGTAGCCCTGGTAGGCCAATCCGGTTGTGGTAAATCAACTCTGCTGCAATTGGTTCAACGATTCTACGAGCCAGATGACCATGGTCCGAATTCAGGAATATTCTTCGACGGAATGAACATCAGGGACTTGGCGCCATGCTGGATCAGACAGCAGATTGCCATTGTATCGCAAGAACCCACTTTGTTCAATATGAGTATACGGGAGAACATTGCCTATGGGGATAATACGAGGATAGTCTCAATGGATGAGATTATCGAAGCTGCTAGGACGGCCAATATTCACGAGTTTATCATGTCTCTGCCTGAGGTAAGTTACAAAACCGATAGATGACCTACAGTCTTATTGGGATAAGTGTGATGGTTTCCCCTCACCCAGTCTTTTTTCGTTGACGAATCTCAGGCCAAAGTGATTCTACTCACGGGGGCGAGATGGACCAAGTGGTTACAGCGCGAACTAACTGACCGGAAGGTCCCGGTTTGGACCCCGACCTCCACGGGGGCGAGATGGACCAAGTGGTTACAGCGCGAACTAACTGACCGGAAGGTCCACGGTTCGAACCCGACCTCTGTCACTCGACTTCCCCTGTCTAGGCTTGGGCGACCTGGCACTATCCCAGCCCTCTTGCCTCCTTCGTGTGGTATGGCAGCTAGGCACCGAAAGGGTGCTACAGCTGGACGATTTTTGTTGTTGTTGTTGTTGTTTGATTCTACTCACCATGCGTCTTCATCTGGCACTTACAGAGACAGATTCTCTAAATAACTGTCATTTTACTGCAAATCGGGAGCTGTGTATCCATTGAGAACAATGGGCAAAGTTCACGGTTAACTCCAAGGGAGGCTCAAACTGCCTGACGGACAATGCACTTCACACATGAGGTCATCACACCACACAGTGATTGCGGTGATCTGTTCCCTCTTCTCCGTGAGTGATTAGGAAAGAATAGAGCACGACAATAGTTGAACCGATCAGAACGTTTTATCTTGTTGTTTTCAGTCCTGCCTGACATAAATGACATCGTGCTAACCGTCGTCCTACCTGAATGGCCACTGCCATAGTTCCATATGTTTCATGGCCACTGAACATCATGAAGATGTCGCCCGTCCCTGTAGGACAGTCTGGCGACTGAAGTTGTGGAGAAGGGAAAACGGTCCAGATGTTTTGTTTACAAATGACCTAAATTTCGTCGGTTGCAAAACATGGTAAGCATGAAAGGGCGTGAACCTTGCAGCAAAGTTCTTATTGGTACCTGACTGATGGACTTCAGAAGATGTAACTTCTAGTCCCAGCAGGATGTTTAAATTATGGCAATGACATTCATAAGGACCTTCTACCTGACCGTGGATTTTTAGACCATGGTCGTAATCACTGCACTCAAGAAAGACACTCTAACGTACAACCTAGGATGACATGTTAATTCTGCGCTAAGAGGTACAGCTCTCGCCTCCGTACAAAAATCAGAAATAACTGCTCGACTGCCGATTGGTTTGACGTTGAACTTGCAAAGTCACTTGTGAGATAAGGTAAAAACAGTTTCACACATAAGTCTCTCTGAGATATGAGGCTGAAGCTTTTACGTGATGTACATGCTAAGAATATACAAAGTGATACAGTGAACAATACAGTTTGTCCTTCCCATACTCGCATCAACTGGAATTACCCGTTTACTCACCACACTGATGTAATCAGTATTGGTTGATAGGGATGTGTTTATGCAAGCAGCGTAACGTTCATTTTGTCTGCATGACCAGGGACGCCCACTAACGTTGAACACCCTCACATGGACTCAAAAACGTCCTGCTCTTAAGCCGTTGAAGTTTCGCGGTGTCTTAGCCAGACCGACTGAGTTGTTGTGACCATAATCCCACAAACCAAGACAAAAGATGGATAATCTAAGCCCGCTATGTTGGTGCGGTTTTATGAGCGATGGAGACCCTCGTTGCTATGAGATCCCACCGAGTAGAGACCTCAGTCAGAGATGTCTAAACCTTTAACGCCAGTGGGACTTATCTAATATAGACTGATGGCCGAAACTCCAGTCACGCTGCTTGATGTACGCCTCTCTTGCTGTATCTCAACACTCAGAAATTTCAGGCATGGAATAGACGTTCCAGTCGCATCGCAGCAAAGTTCTTATTGGTACCTGACTGATGGACTTCAGAAGATGTAACTTCTAGTCCCAGCAGGATGTTTAAATTATGGCAATGACATTCATAAGGACCTTCTACCTGACCGTGGATTTTTAGACCATGGTCGTAATCACTGCACTCAAGAAAGACACTCTAACGTACAACCTAGGATGACATGTTAATTCTGCGCTAAGAGGTACAGCTCTCGCCTCCGTACAAAAATCAGAAATAACTGCTCGACTGCCGATTGGTTTGACGTTGAACTTGCAAAGTCACTTGTGAGATAAGGTAAAAACAGTTTCACACATAAGTCTCTCTGAGATATGAGGCTGAAGCTTTTACGTGATGTACATGCTAAGAATATACAAAGTGATACAGTGAACAATACAGTTTGTCCTTCCCATACTCGCATCAACTGGAATTACCCGTTTACTCACCACACTGATGTAATCAGTATTGGTTGATAGGGATGTGTTTATGCAAGCAGCGTAACGTTCATTTTGTCTGCATGACCAGGGACGCCCACTAACGTTGAACACCCTCACATGGACTCAAAAACGTCCTGCTCTTAAGCCGTTGAAGTTTCGCGGTGTCTTAGCCAGACCGACTGAGTTGTTGTGACCATAATCCCACAAACCAAGACAAAAGATGGATAATCTAAGCCCGCTATGTTGGTGCGGTTTTATGAGCGATGGAGACCCTCGTTGCTATGAGATCCCACCGAGTAGAGACCTCAGTCAGAGATGTCTAAACCTTTAACGCCAGTGGGACTTATCTAATATAGACTGATGGCCGAAACTCCAGTCACGCTGCTTGATGTACGCCTCTCTTGCTGTATCTCAACACTCAGAAATTTCAGGCATGGAATAGACGTTCCAGTCGCATCGTTGTATCGTGGGTGGCCGTCTATCGGTTACGCCTGCACTGAGCCTGCCAGACTACGCGATAGGGAGAAGACAGAGAACTCGGGACACGGCTGTGCTGTCAGGACAAGACATACAGAGCGTCTGCGTAAATATATATGATGACTAAATGGCCAAATATGGCCGTTCACTTGTCCCTTCTGTACAGCCAATGGTGATGTTCCGGTCGTGAAAAATTTCAGGCCCACTACGCTGGTCGAATGTTGTTAAGACGTGTTTGGTGAGAGCCGCCAACTCACTCACTTTCCGGACGTGTCGTGCTGATGATGACCTTGGGGATGCGCCACTCTCTGCACATGTGCTTTTTTTCATGTCTGGGCGCGTCCTGACATCCGCCTTCGACAAAACTTCCTAGTAGGAATATCTCTCCCTAATAGGGCCGGATGGCTGTACATGCCAAAGACAACAGAAGTCACACTTTCTCTTCAAATTGTGGCCAGCCCTCTAATACGACTTGATTTCAATCGTAAATGAATCTCACTTAATGTGTTTCACAGTACCAGTTCCCTGTAGACGCAAATATGCGAATGTCTCATCTTGTCGAAATACTTGCTTTTCCCTGACCCTGTGAATGCTGGAGTTTGACTACATGCTTTTACCAGACTCGGTCATTTCCGTGGAGACCCTGGCAGCCAAACAAAGGACCTCCTCTGGTGTTTTCGAGCGCTTCTGGCCATGTTTAGGATCAACAATTCAGTATGCTTCGCACATCAGCATTATAACTTTTATCCTCGACACACAAGCTGTGAATACTGGAGTTTGACGGTGTTCACCATGGGCTATTTATTGAGGAAGTTAATTGTCCTTGACCAGTACATGATATACACGCAGCTGCCTGGGTAGATGAATTCATCCACCACACCGATCGGCTGATTTATCGTTTGGGTTTGATTCCACCCTGATTTAACAAAACACTAGGTTTCTCGAGTGCAAATTGTGCTCCAAATCACGTGATCGAGGTACAAAATTGATTTTTAGTTCCTTGGGATTAGACTAAAGAAGAACAGGTTCATCGATACACTTACTTTCTTCAAGCGCGTTCTCCGGTGACATTTCGCCCCTTGAGCTTTTCAATACAGATTAGGTTAAATTGAGAAGTGCATCAGATTGTGACTGAAACACCAGAGTGACAGAACACTGTCTTGTATGACACCAAGACATATGATGAACTCGGACTAGATCTTACTAGCTCACAGTATTTTCAATAGGTTTTCAGGGCAGAAAAATTTAGATGGAAGGCGTTGACAGATATCAATATTGCGTTTAAAGACCAAAGGAATCAAAAAAATATCTTTAAGTCAAGATGAAGATGATGGCTGGCCGTTATATCCACGGTGGTGTTCAAGCATATGCAGTATACTGAAAACGCTGTCATTGTATCCTTTCACCCAACACGAGACCTAGGCTGATCCCTCTAAGTTTGACTCTCCCGCTAATCGCTCATCCCGTGTAAGAGAACAGTTTGAACCCTGAAGTTACCAAGGTGGTTTTCACACCATATTTTGCACATTGTGGTCGAAACGGGGGAACGCTTTCCCGCGGTACCGTATTGTGATAACGTGTCATTTGAAGCGGGTCAGTAGGTGTACTCCCTAGTATCTTGCAACCTTCTTTGAAGTTTCTGTAGAGTGTACGCCCTGAAATCCTGCTGCCAAGTCACGTCAGTTGAGGAAACGTTTGCGTCTTGCTGCTGTTTCGGTTGGAACAATGGCGTTCACAGTCCATTCCGGATCCCTCAATGCCTCTAAACTTGTGAAGGGCCATATGCCTTGTAACTTAAAATCTCAGAATCGCATCTCAAAACGGCAATACGGTGACTGATTTGCCGGTTCATCATTTTCGCAGATAGATGTCTTTTGGCCAAGCTGAGTGTATCAGTTAACAATGGGTACGATAGTTACTACTTACAACGCCTTCATTTTCAAGAGTTGCTTCCAACCAGTCCTCTTTGTTACCTTGGTTAGCATTCGCCATTTACATAACCTGAGTGTGCGACTTGCTTTCCAACTAAACATCATTTCTCAAGGCTGACTGGTACAAGTCCTAAGGTGATACAGTTCGATACCCTTGAGCTACGAAAGTCTGTTTGAGAGAGAAGGGAAGTGATATAGCTCCTTTCCTGTAAGAAACAGTGATCGGAAGCATGATAAGTAACCGGGTAAAACAGCAATCGTGACTTGAAATTTCCCACTAGTACTTACGGGGCCTGTTAAAATCTTGCAGGTACTCGTCCTACCGTCTACCGTTTTGGTAGAATCAACCCGGGCGGGGTGTTGGGAAATACATTTGCATACCAACTTGGCTTTGACGGGAGGCTCGGCTGGGATACAGCTGAACATCATAAACAAGAGATTCAGCTGGGCTCCAGGTGAGTCTCTCGTCAAAACCAAACTGATATACGAATTATTGTATTTGTCGAAATCTGTCCGATTTGAGTTGTAGTGGAACATAACGTTGGTGGAAACTGATGAACCCCAAGAAGGGTTGAACCGGTCGTGGGCTGTCAAAGGGTTCTTAGCAACCTCATTACGTCTACGTAAGAGTATTCTTATATGGATCACGTACCCTACGTTACCCCAACAAGGTTTTAGGGGATAAGTTGGTTTACTTGGGCCTAACTGGTTTCATCACCCTTCTTTTCATCCCCGAATACACTTAAAAATCCATTGTAATCAGCGGGTTTGTGACTATGTATGCTTATTGGCTTCTTGCGGCGATTAGAACAAAATGTATATTGCATTTTAGGATAATTATTCATCCCACTCATTTAGTCGGGCTAGAAGAGCCCAATGAAGAGGTGCGTGAGATTAACATCCAATGAAAAACCTCAACAATTCTTTGGACAATTGATGTAGCCCTTAGGGGTTACGCGCCCGTTTGTAGGGTGTGAAGGTGGTCGTTTAAGAGGTTATTATAATGCTGACTAAAGACGATCTCTTGCTCCGGCTGGACCGATACTAAAGATGTGTGTGTTTTTGTTGAATCCATACCAAGGTACTGACAACCCGTCGTCACTATCACACATTTGAGGTTCATTATGTCAGTGACATCCCCTGTTTCCATCAGTCTCAGAGAACAATCTGGCCACGCAGACATCCCCTGTTTCCATCAGTCTCAGAGAACAATCTGGTCACGCACACACACACACACACACACACACAGATTTAAACACTCATTGTCAAATGCAGTGTTAAAGTTATGGTCAAACGAATCACTCGCTTCGAAATTGTTCCACTTGAAATGTTGCACAAAGACAACTCAGGGTTCAAATGCACCGACAGTGAGGATACTAAAGAACGGTGTGCGGCTCTTTTGCGCCGAATTCTCTAAGTCCTGCTGTTTCTAAGCTTCATCGTTATATCCCGCTAAGTCCCTTAGTGTTTGTATTGTAGCGTTTCTGTGAAATGCACCATCATCTAAGAAAACTACCTCTCATAATCTCAGAACGTTCCTGAGACGTGTGGCCAAATGGCATATAAAAATGTCCTTAACTGTGAACCTAATGTGCAACTCGGCGACAAACAGTTTCATTGGATTGGCTTCCCGAAATTGGCTCAGATTCTATTCATTCCGATGGATTCTCATTTCTTTTAATAGTTTTTTTATCGAGTACGCCAGAGAATATGGATGATTCTAGCATAGAGCCCGACGGTTAGTTTATCACTCACAACACTATAATCCTTCTTCGGACGCAGCACACTACTCATCAGATTGCTGTAAAGTCTTCAACCTTCATGGGCCATCATAGGCCAGAGATTCACCTGGATTCAGTTGAGTATCCTGTCAAAACCGAATTTCTGTGCAAGTAAGAGTATTTATCGATACCGTAGTCCCTATTTTATCTGTCCAATCAGATAAGTGTTGTGAATTCGTAGTATATCTGGCAGACTAAATAAACAAGTTTATTTTACTCTTGCCGGTTGATTTTAAATTGTAGGGATATGAAACACTTGCCGGAGAAGGGGGTTCGCAGCTTTCCGGTGGTCAGAAGCAACGCATAGCGATTGCCAGGGCACTGATTCGACGACCGGTACTTTTACTCCTCGACGAAGCAACATCAGCTTTGGACACTGAAAATGAGCGCCTCGTACAAGAAGCACTGGACGCTGCGATGGAGAATCGGACTTCAATTGTGGTGGCACATCGTTTGACTACTGTGGAGAACACGGATGAGATTGTTGTGATTGAAAACGGGAGGAAGATAGAATGCGGATCACCGGATGAGCTTTTGGCTGCAAAGGGGGCTTTCCATGCCCTACATCACGCAGAAGCAAGCTGAAGCAAGAAACGAAAACGTATTCCACTTCCTTTCATTTGGTTGCCAATGACTTTGATCCTTTCATGTTTTTCCCCTTGAGGAATCAAACCAAAAACGATCGTCCCAAACATACAGCCACACTCTATGATTAACACTTTTTGTCTACTGCTGAATAGGAGCAGGTTGAGCGTTGATCGAGCTTCACAACCCATATGGTCCATTGAAACCAGTAGTATTCACATAGCTCGTTATTATGAACAATGCTCCGGAAAGATATTATGGTTGTGGACGGTAATCACAAGTGTTTGGCTGTTGATTTCTACTGAGAAGAATGTTGGTAGCTCAGGTGGCGTACACCGTCATCGTTTTGTTTTGCTGAGCTGTTTGATTGCAAGCGTTTCATCACCAATCAGTGCGGTGTTAGCGAACGTAGTGGAGCGTAGCGATGGGTTGGTCGAAAGAATTCGATCACAAATGGGGATAAAACGCCTTGTTTGAACACGATAAAAATTCTCATGGAAGCAGCCAAGAGTAAAGTGAACCCAGTACCACCTATATGAGAGACTCAGCAAGCCGAAAGAACGAAGTAAATTCTGGAAACTTACAGTGTGTAAATAGCTACAAATTGGTACAGTGAGTAGCTATCACACGTGTTATTACAAACAAACTAGACTCTGTTTACTCATCTTTGTGATTAGATCCCTGTGTACGACCACATTTGAACCACATGGATACGGAGGACCGTGTAGACCACATCAGGTTAAAATGCACGCAGCGTGGGCTTAACAGATACTAACTATCCAGCATCGAAAGACCACAGATAGTTCGATGAAACTTAGCTAACTCTCATCAGGACCAGCTTGGAAGGAACACAATAGTCATCAATGCAACTCCTGGTTATTTTACCCATCCAGCGAATGCTAAAAATGGCTTACGAGGTTCCTCATGAACCCTAGTTATGAGTGGAAAAATCCTACACGACCACCCATTTTTCTAGCAGCAAATCAATTTCAATAATTGTAGGATCCTCTGAACGACCTGAGGATATTTAAATCTGCCACGTGACATAAGATCGATTATGCAAGCCGGTCACCGTCTAATGTGATGGAGTATGCATTTACGGTGACTGGAATATTACTTTCTGTTGTGGGCACCGTGATCAATATAATCTCACTAATTTTCGTGTCCAGAATAACGTGCCAGGCAACAACTCTTGCCAAGAAGGTTCTCTATATAATTATCGTCCAACACTTTATAGATATAGTGGCCTGTATTGCGTATCTTTTGAGTTCAGTGGGCTTGGACGAGCAATTTCCATCAATATTTACCTGCCGAATTCTGCGCACCAGAGCTCTATTCTGGACTGCAATCAACTATCGAGCATACATTAACGTGTACGGTTCCCTGTGGCATCATGTGCGAATAATTTATCCATTCTGGAGTACCGTGTTGAACAGAACTGAAGGGTGTGTGGGTTTGTTCTTACTCGCAACAGCGGCCAACATTCTTCAGACTCTAGCTTTCACTAGATTAAGCGAGCTATCTGCAGACCAGAGTGCTTGTATACCGTGCACCCCTTGTCAAACAGGAGAGAACGCAGGAACCTACAGTTTCTTGGTGCTCCATTCAACTATCTATCGATTCGCGTTCCCTTCAATGGCCATGTTCGCATCGTTTGGTTATTTGATGCAAGTGCTATCGGACTGCGACGGTAAGGTCTACAAACAAATGTACAGGGAAACGAGAAGGAATCTATTCATAGATGCAGTTTTGTTCGTCATTTGCCTCTGTACACACGAAGCCCTATTTACGCTCAATGTCTTTGCATTTAACATGGAATACGGACTTCGCACTGCACCATACGAAGTTGCAAGTTTGTTGGCGCTTGGCTACCCTGTATTAAGTCCCTGTTTTTCAATGTGTCTGCGAAAAACAAACTATACCTCTGTGTTAGAAGCTGTCCTTCGACCGATGGACTACCAAAAACTTTCCAAGCTGGCGATTATGTGGGCCAACTATGAACGGCAAAAGAGGAAGTCATAATCCCAATGCATGAGTTATTCTTTCGTACAAACGAATAATTCCATCACTTTGCAATCGACACAGTCAAATGTTCGCTCAGGTCAGTCGCCCCAAAAATGTACGACCAGTTAGACTGGGGCTCTGCAACGCACACCCCTAGAAAGGCAAATCGGATCATATTCGGATTTCGGACATTACCGATCGATTGTTTGAATGGCGCACAAGAATGTGCCGCCACGCGAAACAAATAATGAGTTCCAGTTAGTTATCAACCCAAGGAAGACACGGATATGGGCCGCTGTCCTTAGATCCCACTGGAAGAAACATCAACGTAGTAAGTGAACGTCTTCGGAGTGAAATTTGCGGAATAGATACAGAGTACTTCTTTGTGAATGTGCTGGTTAACAAACTGGCGGAGATGGCTCCAAGGTGGCACGGTTCTGATGATGGGGTATGACTAGCTGCTTCATGCGTTGGAGTTTAGTGTGTTCATTTACCTTCCACAGATATAACCGCATCTTCAGCTGAGAGGATACCAAAAGTTTACAGCGTTTGTAACTTTCTATTGGTCTGTTGTAGTAACGAATGGAATATGCTCATCCATTATTAACTAATAAAAGGAAATTCATAGCAGGACAAATTTCTAGTCTGATTGGAACCAGGCGGCACTTGCTATTGGAGTGCACATCTTTCTATTACGTCATAAAAACACCACTGCCCATCCTGAGTATTCTCCAAAAAATACGCACATTTGGCACAAACTTCTGTCCAGCCCGCATCCGACAGCTAAATGCACGTACAATTCAGTGAAACTTTCATCACAAAGTCAACCGATGAAATGTCAATAAAATGGCCGACAGTATAGTAGCGACAAGCAGTCGGTGCAAAAGAGGTTACGACATCAATATACGGCGATTTCATATTCTTGAGTTCAACCGGGTGGCCAGTAAGTCAGTTGTTATGAGGATTTCAGCACCCGTGATAATATATCCGAACTAGAAACTGAAAAACTAAGAATGTAAACAACTCAGACAATAGACCTAGACCACTCGGGGCGACCGACTGAACCACATGTCGGATCCCAAGGCGACACTACGAGACCAAACGAATAGCACACATTTGTGTGCTAATCTTCCCCCAAGTTCCATGTGAATGTCGGATATCGATGTAGTTCGACGGAATTGGGCTAGTTTGTTCGCAGTCGAAAAACTGTAATTCTCTTCATCTTTTAATAGGTTCACTCTGTTTCGTGATTAATTGCCAGCGGAGGCCAAACACAACCAGAGAGCGATGGTGGAATGTGCAATATAACTCATTCTAAGCTCGCGGGAAAGTGTGCCAAACATCATGAATCAGACGCAGGCCCCGCCAAGCAACGTTAATGAACGTCCACTACCCATCTTCATAAAAAGTGAGGCCTTTTCCTCCAAGCGTTTTTCAAATTTTTCTCCTCTTTCAAAGCCTTAAAAATCGGCCCGTTATGGACTTCAATTGGATGAGCAATGTTTCGTCAAGATCTTTCTTCCTAAATGTTCTGAGCTACCTGGATTGTCTTTATGAGAAAAGAACGTGCGTTTATTCGTAAAGTAGGCTGGACGGTACACGGTCAACTGCCTAAAATAGTAATGCTTCGATTACAAGGAATAAAATAAAAGCTACCGCCCCCGCACGACCACTATAAAGCTAACAAAGAAAGCTAATGATGAATTTACAGTGTCGTCGGAATGTAATGATAACTCGATCTTTCCTAGTCATAATGGCCTAAAAAATATCTAACGTCAGCGAAATACACTCATTTGCAAATTAATTTGGTTTAGCGAGAGACTCACCTAGAACCCAGCTGAATCTTTTGTTTGTGATTTTTACAGGCAACTGAATGTGCTGCACAAGGCCGCCTCATGTTTCAGCCGCTACGATATTCGAGATATCGCGATACATGTATATTCGTAATGCACTACTCATAAGGTTGATGGAAATTCCTCGACAGCCCACCACCTGTTTAGCCCTTCTTGGGGCTCACCAGGTAGGCGCAGTCCCCGAGTTTCCATCAACCCTATGCTCTGATTCAAACCAAATTGCACGAAATTAGCGAAGTACACCCACTTACTTGGTTTTGCGAGAGACTCATCTGAAATCCAGCATAAGCGCAGCAAAAAACTCGGTCTGAATAACGAATAAATGGTGAATTCTAAAGGACGTGACGCAATTTCCCCTCTTGAAGAAAGCTGAGAAAATGAGTTGTTGCATGGCACGCTGAATGAATTACGCTGCACCTCTTTGATTACAAGCTGATTTCATCGATAGTCCATCATTCACTTGAAAGTGGGCATTTTATCGAACCGGTAGTTGCCCTTCACACTGCGCACAAGACCACTAAAGGCGCCACAGTTTGCTCAGTCTATTGCTATCAGAGGGTGGAAACCACAATTGTGTAAACAGGAGTCGGCCACCCCGTTCGCAATCCCTTGGTGATCGGTTTGCTTTCGGCATCCCAACAGTAAAGGCCTGTTCCCTTCCGCCAACCTATCTGATACAGTAGTGTAGTATAACGATACAGAAGTGTGCACCCAGACCTACAGCGCAATACACCACGTTTGTCGTGTAACATCTCATTTCTCTGTGATCTCTTTACGTTTTTAAGTGTACGGTGGTCCCATATCTCTGTTCTGTAGCGCGCACAGCTGCGGCCTTGTCAGAGACAAAGTTGTTGAGAAGCATGCACTGTGGTGAGACTGTGATAATTAAAAGAGGATGGATATTCAAACCAAAAACAACTTATTCTCCACTGTAAGCTTACTTTACATTTCGTCTAAAGAAGCACGTAGGCGCTATTTCAGATAATCGTCCAAGCAACAGTGTCCTGTCAAGAAAACCTTGGACGACTGGAAAGTTAAAGACGGTGGTTGTGGTATTGCCCCAACGGCAAGTTATTCAGTGGCAAAAAATAGGGTCACAGCAAACAGCACAAAGCAGATTCACCTGTCACCTGTACGACGAGTACGCGGTTATCACAGCTGACAATGATGATGATGATGAACCCTATATCCCTCTTCAGAACGACAAATCTAATCTGGATGATTGCAGGCTCGAATAATTCGTCCCATAAAAGTCAGCTATTAACAAATCCTGTCCGAGCTAAGAAATGTATTCTCCGGACCGTAACCAGATAGATTTCTTCCAACCCCCCACCTCACTTGACAGCCCACTGACAGTGCTGGATTTATGCACCAATTTATCACCTCCCGCCTGCAGTGGGCAGCTACCTACCCCCTACCCCCAAATCATCGGTGAACGAAACTGCGGCAGCTACAACCACTGTACGACGAGTTCGAGGTTATTACAGCTGATGCTGCTGATGATACAAAGTAGTCACCAATCCGATACAGAGGAACATCATGGTGCGGAAATTTACACTAACTTCACTCTGAGTGAGACACCGATACGAGTGTGGGTGAAAAAACAATCCTGCACTTGCTGGATCACGACTGACCAATGGGGGTGTTACAGTTGACTATTATACAACTCTTCGTATGTTATATATATATA